AAGCTCAGGACTCTGTGCACTTTTTCCAGAACAGTTTGTGCCCAACTGTACCTGGCTCTGATCTAAAGGGAATAAGACAGTTCTTACCTGCCATGGTGGTTATAGGGTGTAGAGGCCTTCATGTAAGTATCTGGTGGAGGCCCCACTGTAGCATTTGGCGGGGGGAAGAAGGCTGGATTGAGGTGCAGGGCAGGTGGGACGGCCCCAGGGGGAGGTACGGCAAGATGAGGAGGTAATCGAGGAGGAGGGGGCATGAGATGCTGGTAGTGGATGCCAGGAGGAGGAGGAGGAACCCCAAAACTTGAGGAGAGAGGTGGTGGGGGTGGAATTGGGGGTGGAGGCAGACCCATCAGGGGAAGGGCTGAAGGAGGGCGATTGAAGTAAGGAAGCACGCTGGGGGGCTTATCCACACGAGCGGATGAGGGCACGAGGTTCTCAGAGGGTGTGGCTCGTCCATCAGCAGAATCACTAGAATCTCGGGAGTGGGCCCGTGGAGGTATGCCTACAAAAGAAACAGATCTGACGTTACTGCCAAGGTTTTAGACATACTGACTGGACCAGCTCATCCTTTGGCAAATCACCTAACACCTCTCCTGAGGAAGGCAATTGCAGTAGCTGAGACAGAAGGAAAAATCATATATTGCCTTTTTCATTTTTTGGTCTCAGAAAAAGGTCATCCCAGTTAAGAGGAATCCAGAAAAGAACACTACCCTTAAGTTCTATATGTCAAAAGATGCTCTTCCACACACCCAAATGAAACTGGGATGGGAAAAAAGACACACTTGAAGAGTAGATGATGAGGTCAACTGAGAGGTACACAGAAAATGGGAGATAAACCAAAAAAGATCTGCCCATAGATTGAGCAGATGGCACCCAGCTGACACAGGAACACTTAGCAAAAGCTTGGTACAAAACATGCTTCAAATTTGTTCAAACAGTTAAATATGTGTTTCATTAACAACATTTTAATGGCCTAAGTCCTCTACTGGGAATACCACCAGAAAATGTTAGGATGCTGCTGCATACCACAGGGGTGCAGAGCATGTCTGTATGCAGATGGAAGCATGGCTTCTGATAAGTCACCTGGTTACACTTGTTTGTCCTCTCTAATTCCCAGGCTAAGTATTAATCATAGGGCTCCAACAGAACATGATCATATGGCTTTGGAAGTCTTAAAGGTAGAAAGATACTTAGCAAATGTATAGGGGGAAAGAAGAGTAAGGTATTATCCAAGCCTGAGGCAAGTCTAAGGTGGAATTAGGTACGCTGATACCACCTCAATTTCTCTATTTGATAATACTGCCAGTGCCTGCCACAGCACTCTTGTTTTTCGTTTCTTAAACACATGGTAACTGTTCCTTTCTTGAGTTCTCTCAAATGGAATAAAGAGGAGGTTTTAAGCAAGTACAATCTTTTGACAACCAGCCACCCTCTCAGCTACTGTTCTCATATCTGCAAAAGTTGTTTTGTATCTATGGCTACAAGTCTCCAGAGCATTGGCCGTCTCTTATTTGGAGAGAGAGTAAGAGTAAGAAACAATACTGGGGTTGAACTCAGGGCCTCACACTTACTAGGCAGGTGCTTTACCTTTTGAGCCATGCTACCAGTCTGAGAAGTGGCCATCTTTAAGCCACTTAAATTTACTTAATGAGTCAATACAACTCAACTCTATCAATGTGACAGAGCTGAAAAACAACAATCACACTTGTCTTTTCAGAAAAGTAATACCAAAGGAGGAAATAGCTAAGTGGAGAGAGGTAGACATGTCACCCTCAATGCACCTGTAAAATCATATACCTTTGCAAAGTTAAAGAACTGAATTACAGAAGCGACAAACAGAAGTGACTTGAAAACACAAATTAAAGAAGAGAAGCATGTTCCTTTCATCATAACAATGAGAGCTCATTCATTCAGGCTCTGAATCTAGGTGAAATAGTTATTCTTTTGAAAGAGAGAAGTGGCAATATCCTGAAGAATGCACTCATAACACAAGGCAGTACTGTTTTTAGAGCTGGCCTAAGTAGTGAGAGCATGCAGCAGATACGCTGCCATCCCTCCCCACAGTAGTAAAAGGAAAGGTGGGTGACTCTTAGGCAAGGCCCTGCATGGGGGCCTGCGCCTTGTGGGGCCAGGACAACTCCAGGTCTGGTCTTCATGTTTCACAGATTCAGAAATTTGATATCAACAGTTCACCAAGGGGTAATTGGACCTTAGAGATGGATTCAAGATAATCGAGCTCACAAAAGACTGATTTATAAATCAGAATGCCAATTTAGTAATTTACAATGAGAACTATAAACTGCCAAGCAGACTGTAATACTGTGTCAGCTGGTCAGTGCATCTCCTGCCAGTAAGAAAGCCTTGTTGGGAAACCAGATGGTATTAGAAGGTGGCTTGGTGACTAGAATCAGCACAAAGGCTTAAGGGATGAACTTAAGGGACACTGTCATCAAGCTAAGGCAGAAGGATGCAATGTTAATTACAAATAGGATCCACTTGCCAACAGACAACACATTCCATAACTAAAAGCTTGCTCTCTCCTCAGGATAATGCTAGAGAAATGCTGAAATTCCTATTCTCCAATATTTCTTTCAGTTGATTCTTTAACCCCCCCCAATATATTCTTGACAAGATTACAGCTAACTTTATGCGCACTTTCAGGTGGCTGCTTCTTACAAGTCCATTTATTGGTATGAAATTTTTTATAAGAAATATGGAAATTAGTGCTTGATATCCTGTATCCTGGTCAGATGAGGACACAGGCCCCAACCAATGAAGTGACTTGCCCAAAGTCACAAAGCCAGTCAGTGGCAGAGCTGAACTTACCTGGCTCCAATGTATGCTTTCATCTACACAAAAATCTCACTTTTTGGCTTACTACTAATCATGCCACCACTGACAGCCATCAGTACCCTCCCCCAGCTTGTGCACACAGCAATTTAAGCCCACAGAAAACAAACCCACAACCCTCCCCCCTTCATACAGATGGTCTCCACGTACCCCCTCTTGGGACTCGGACGCACTCACGTTTCCGGGCCTGTGCCTCAAACTGTGATAGGTTCTGCCGGGTGGCCGGCCTCACATCTACTTTTTCTCCATTAAGAACTTTTCCTGGCAGAAGTTCCAATAACTTGTGGACAGAGTTTTCAGAGGCTACCACCACCTCAGCATACCTTGAGGAAAAGAAGTTAGAATGAGTAGAATGAGTGATATCTATTTACCCAACTGAGAATAAACAAATCTCTTCTACTTGGCAAAGCAAAGGATACCTTGCTTAAACTATCAACAAAAAAAGATACCACGCTATAATCTTCCTAATGTTCTTGGGAGGATTAAAAATCAGTCTTCTTTCCCCCTCAACAAATGGACATTCTACCACACTGCAGCTAGTACCTATTCTGAGTTAGTGTACCCAAACAAGAGAATAAACTAGACAAGGGGTTGCAAGGGTTAGAATCCAGAGCCAAAAGGTAGTATAAATATCTGTTACCTGCTACCAATAGTTACAAATCAATAGGGTTCCCCAAATCCAGACCTCACCCTTTGGATTGGCCATTTGCTCGATTCTCTGCAAATTTCAACTCCACCACATCATAGACTCCTATAGAGCGAATAACCTGGATCAGCTGCTGGTCTGTGGTCCACTGGGGCCGGCAAGATGGAAAGGGAAAAATGTCAAGAACTCTACCTACTCCATCAAACGTCCCAAACCCTAGGACTCTAGCCACAAGCATGACTTCCCATAGAAAACCCCAAAGCCCAGCAATATTTTAATTCATGTAAGCTTTTCTTTTGTCCTCACTCATCCAGGACTCAAAACCCATCCACCCCCCACCCATGCCTATTTTTAGGGATTAAGATTGGCCCTATTTTAATTCTGACCACCATTTGGGCTGGTTGCTCATCAATTCAAACACTGATTGCTAGCAACTTTTAATCACACATCTGACAGGCTAGAGTTGCTTGACCACCACTAGAACTTTCCCCACAGTGTGTGCACATACATACATGTATATGCACATATATACACATATATGTATGTAAGCATATGTATGTGTGTGTATACACACACGTGTACTGGAGCTACCAAGAGATCTTTCATCCCCATCACCCACCATTATCACAGGACCATCTAATGACCACCAAGAATTCAAGGTGTTCACTCTGAAACGTCGTCCCACAGATGACCCTGCTAGACATAAAGCCCCAGGGTCAGGGGCAGTAGTAGAATGGCAGAAAAGGCAACTACCCACTTAATCATTCCTTTCTTCGGCACCAGTACGTCCTCAGGATAGTTCTCTTTCAGAGAGCAATCCAACCTGATCCCAGGGAAAAGAAATCCAACCCCATCAGAGCACAAAACAGGTGCAACAGTGTTTTCTGAAAATGCCATCACCTCCCAGTGCTCTCCCTCCAGTCCACCCATAAACCTTTTGGTTATCCTTGCTCACCCAAGAGAAGCTGCCTACATAGACAGCTGCTCGTCTATTCCTCAGACCACTGTAGGTATACAGAATTGCAGGCGCCTTGTTGTTGGGCTTGGGAGACGGCTCCTGGCGAACAGGAGGTGGTGGCTCAGCACTGCTGCTTCTGTCATCTGACGGCTGGGAGGTGGCTGTCAGCACATCATCATATAGGTCAATCTGATCTGTATTGTTGAACTCTGAGTCCTAAAAGATGAGGGGGTTGGCAAAGGTCCATTTGCAAACCTTTCATTTTGTTCCTATTTCACACCAGTTTACTTAGAGCCCACAAATACTTTCTCGTCCTACACAAAAAACTTCATTTGAAACTGCATCTTAGTTATTTTTTTTGTAGATTTCTCTCCCAAGACTTTGTTAGCAGTGTCAAATATCTCTGACTTTAGCCACCTAGGAGAATCAAAGGATACATTGTGAATGAACTGGGAAATAGAAATGAGACATATGTGCTGTTATTAGTGAGGTCAGCTCTGAAGACCACATCTCAGATACACTAACAAGTATTTGTCTTGAAAATCTTATGCTACTTCTCAAGTCCAGTATTACACAGTAGTACTTAATAAGAAATAAACTTATTTGGAAATATAGAGGAATAGTGGATACCAAAATGCAAAACACACTAAGTTAGGGAAGCTCTGAAGCTCACAGAACACAATCTCAGTATTCTAATAACTGTCAAAGAAACTTGAAATACTGGGGATGTGGTAGAGTGCTTTTGATTCCTAGCACTGTTTACTATCCCGACTGTAGACCTTCCTAATTCACGTATTAGTTATGGTGATTTCCCATCATGGTTTAAGGAAGAGCAAGGACCTAAAAGTCACTTGATTCTAATTCAATGATCTAATGCTTAGAGGGCACTGTAGTCTGTCTGCCTTATCTGTGGGTTCTATCTATATCCACAAATTTAACCAACTATGGACTGATATAACCTTGGGAAGTTGGCTCAGTGGTAGAGCGCTTGCCTTGCATGCCTGAGGCCCTGGGTTCGATTCCTCAACACCACATAAGCAAAAAGAAAAAAGCCAGAAGTGGCGCTGTGACTCAAATGGTAGAGTGCTAGTGCTAGCCTTGAGCTGAGGGACAGTGCCCAGGCCTAGAGTTCAGGCCCCACGACCGGACCCCCCCCCCCCAAAAAAAAAGTTAACTAATAATATAGGGCTGGGGATATAGCTTAGTAGTTGGAGCACTTGCCTCAAAAGCGTGAGGCTGTGTTCAGTCCTCAGCACTGTCAAAATAAAATTAAATCAGCTAGAGACAAGTACATGAGAGGGTTAAGTTATATGCAAACATTACACCATTTTTTATAAATGCATTAAGTACCTGAGGATTGTGGTAATGGGGGGATGGGGCCTGAGACCAATCACCTGAGGCCTGGGGCAACTGTACTTTGCATCAAGGTCTTAACAACAACACAAAAAAATTTAAGGATTTTTAATGGAAATTTAAAGGGAATAAGAAAAAGCACTATCTTGGATATTCAATACAACTGTATTGAGATTCCTTAGGTGAAGTTATGTGATTCAGAGATGTCTGAAAGTTGTAATATAAAAATTGTCAGCCAGGTGCTGGGGCTCATGCCTACAATCCTAGCTACCCAGGAGGCTGAGATCTGAGGATGGTGGTTCAAGGCCATCCCGAAAAGGAAAGTCAATGAAATGCTTATCTCCAATTAACCACCAGAGAACTGGAAGTGGAGCTGTGGCTCAAAGTGGTAGAGCACTAACCTTGAGTAAAAATCGCTTAGGGACAGTGCCCAGCGCTAAGGTCAAGCCTTACAACTGACAAATAAATAGATCAAGACAGACTTAATCTTTGAAGACCCTGGCTTATAGATTAGCATTTAGAAACAAAAGTATTCAATGAATGTGAAACTGTTAAAAGATTCCCATGTCTTTCTGGGCATCTCAGTTCAAAGAGCTTGTGGGAACTGCACAGGAAATTCAAGTAGAGAGTTCTACTGAAGAAATGAAGCATCAGGTTGTGTCTAGCATAAATATGCTAACATCATTGCTTAGCTGGTAAGAGAAAACCAGGTAAGTTCTTACAATTTTCTGATTACCAAAACCGAGAATTTATCTAGCAACAGATTAGGTTAAAACAAAATGTAATCCTACATGTTAAGTGAAAAACCACATTTAACTTGCAGTAGTGTTCAAAAAGTTTAATTCTAGAAAAGTTTGTAAACAAGAAATATGCATTTAATACTGAATAAGTATCTCAGGAAAAATTCTGTGCACAAAAAGCTGTGATGGCCACATGAAAGTCTTCTTGGTAAACAAGAAAACATGTAAGATTTTCCTCATCAGTATGCTCAATATTCCTACTTTTCAAGCCTTCTCCTAGGTGTCTGATTTAAAAAAGCAACTAGCCTAGAACTGATTTTTCTCAAAGCAACCCATTTAATACCATTGATTACTTTTATTGTACCAAGGTTGAATTAAAATTTGGGCTTCACATCCATCTCCACAGTTCTTTTTGTACCTTTCCTCCTCATCACAACTACCTGTTACTCTGCATTATTATTATCCATCACCATCGTTCTTGCCCCCCTGGACCAGAACCTGTTTTGAGCACAAAGATTCATCCCCATCCCAACATCTGACCTCACTAGCTAGCTCTGGCATAATGCTTAGCGAACAGAAGTACCTCAACAATACTTACAGATGGAATGAAGGGAGGAAGAGAACCAGGCATACTATGCAAAACCTATCTCACCATGAAAAGGAATAGAGACAAAGCACCCAGGAGAGCAGCAATTCTCAGCCACCCTTCTAGTTTTACTCCCAGCCCAATAGAGAAGCTCTGCAAAAGAAGCTTTTGTAGCACATTCTGTAACAGATCAGAGTTTAAGTGTAACAGGATTCCATCTAGGAACTGTATTAATGTTTCTCAGGGAGCCAAGTATATGTGAGGGGAGGTTCTTATGCAATGGCCAGCTTGAGGCAAATCAATAATATTCCTAAGACATCCCAAAACAACTTGTACTGGCTTCCTCAGTCTACATCAACTTGTAACAATCTTACTACCTGCAGTTTTGTTTTTATTTTGACCAAATCCTTTTTAAAATTTCTAGTATTTTTCCAAAATCAAATATTACCTATTTGGTGTTAACATCTAATTGACACCACATACTAAAGATATGTTTCAGATCCATAAAAAAAAGTCCTCTTTGGGCTGGACACATGGTTCAAGTGGTAGAGTACAAACTATGAGCAAAAAAGCCAAGTGGCCAAGCAAGCACAAGCACAAACACCCTTAAGCCTTGGTACCAGCAAAGAAAAAAAACCCTAAAAATACTCCTCTATTAACTAGATGGAAAACTAATTGTTGAGGCCATTGTAGAAAAGGACAAATCAGTGGCCAGTCTAGACTACATACTAAGTTCCCGTTTCAGCTAAGGTAGATAGCAAGACCTGTCTAAAAGAGAAAAAACTGGGCACTGATGGCTTACACCTGTTAATCTCTGGAGGCTGAGATCTGAGAATCATGGCTCAAAGCCAGCACTGGCAGGAAAGCCTGGAGCAAAAAAAAGCTCAAGGATAATGCCTAGACCATGTTAAAGCCTTAGGACAAAAAAAAAAAAAAAAACCCTAAGAGAGAAAACAATCATTTTCTTAAAGACCAACCATGACCTAAAGTAAAAGGCCCCATTCCATTCTGCCTACTTCCCAAATTGGCAGCACTGTCAATTACACAGAGAAGACAAGAACTAAGGAAGTCTGTTTTTCTCATTAATAAAACTGTGATTTACAAAAAGTCATATTAAAACAAAGATATAAAATCCAGGAATAGTTTTATAATTTGTATACATAACCTTTTATCCATATATTGTCTCATCTGACCACTTTAAACATCTTGCATGTATTTAAAAGACAATTAGTAGTCATATATAGGGAACTCTAAAATTTAACAGAGAAGACACAGGGAAAATGTTATTACTACAAAGTAAACTAAGCCAGGCACCGGTAGCTCATGCCTGTAATCTTAGCTACTCAGCAGGCTGAGATCTGAGGATCACGGTTCAAAGTCAGTTGGGGCAGGACAGTCTGTGAAACTCTTATCTCCAATAAACCACTAGAAAACCAGAAATGGTGCTGTGGCTCAAGTGGTCACCTTGAGCTGAAGAGCACAGGGACAGTGCCCAGGCCCAGAGTTCAAGCCCCAGGACCGACCAAAAAACAAAAAACAAAGTATAATTAAGCTAGATGTAGTGGTTAAGTGCATGTGATCCCAGCTATTGTGGAGTCTGGCAGGATAATTCAAGGTCAGTCCAGGTAGTTAGCACAGGACCCTTTCTGAAAAGCAAACAAAAGCAAATGGACTGGGGATGTGGCTCAAATAACAGAAGAATACTTCCCAGCAAGGCTCTGAAGAGAAGTATAACTGGGGCCAGAGGTATCATCCAATGGAAAAACTCATGTCTACCATGTACAAGGCTACTTAGTTCAGTCCTCAGCAGCCCTCTCCCTTTGCCAAAAAAAAAAAAAGGGCTGGGAAGATGGCTCAGTGGTAGAGTGCTTGCCTTGCATGCATGAGGCCCTGGGTTCGATTCCTCAGCACCACATAAGCAAAAAGGAAAAAGTCAGAAGTAGCACTGTGGCTCAAGTGGTAGAGCGCTAGCCTTGAGCTGAAGAGCTGAGGGACAGTGCCCAGGACCAGAGTTCAGGCCCCACCACCAGACCCCCCCCCCCAAAAAAAAGTATAATCTGTACAACTTAATAATAGGTCTAATGTACTCCAACCATTTCACCTTTGTGTATGCTTTAAAATCTTAACATTTAAAAGCCTTGATATGGACCTGGCAGTGGCACACAACTATAGCTCCCAGCTACTACTCAAGAGGCAGAGGTAGAAGAGAGGCAGAGGTAGAAGAATGGCAGTTTAAGGCCAGCAAAAGTGGGAGACCCTATCTGAAAAACTAAAGCAAAAAAGGGGTGGAGGCATGGCTCAAGTAGTAGAACGCTTGCATTAGGCTGAATTAAAAAAACTACAGTATAGCCAAAATAATAAATGCCACAATGCATAAATTTTTTTAAATAAAGTTATGCCAATTAGGGCAAGGGGGAAAAATGGATGTATTAGCCTCTTTTGTTGCCTCATATCAAAGTCAGGGTCCAACCAGGGTATTCTTCTCTACTCCATTCTTTCCATGCTCTTTTCAGATCTTTATGTATACCCTTTGGAAGACACCGGTAAGAGCCAGCTTGCTCAAGGAGAATGGTGCTGAAAATAACCCAGGTAAGATATTAGTAAATTTTAAATAAGGATTTTGGAATATTGTTGAAATCTGACCTCTAGGTCACAGAACCGAATTGCACAAACAATCATTTCAGGGAAAATCTTTCTTTCTTTTTTTTTTTTGGGTAACATCGTGGGGCTTGAACTCTGGGCCTGGGCGCTGTCCCTCAGCTCTTCAGCTCAAGGCTAGCACTCTACCACTTGAGCTGTTATAGCGCCACTTCCAGCTTTTTTCTTTTTGCTTATGTGGTACTGAGGAATCGAACCCACGGCCTCCGGCATGCAAGGCAAGTGTTCTACCACTGAGCCACCTTCTCAGCCCCGAAAATCTTTTTTTGTCGTTACCATAAAAATATAAAACTACTAACCAATCTAACAAAGGGTGAGTTAATTTATACTCACTTCCTAACTAGATTGTCCAATGTCTTTACACTCATTTTTTTTTTTTTTTAATCTAGTGCCAGTCCTGAAGCTTTAACTCAGGGCCTGGGCACTGTCCCTGAGCTTTTTTGCTCAAGGCTAGCACCACTTAAGCCATAGTGCCACTTCAGGCTTTCGATGGCTTATTGGAGGTAAGAGTCTCATGGATTCCTGCCTGGGCTGACTTTGAACCAAGATAATCAGATCTCAGCTTCCTGACTTGCTAAGGCACAGGTGTGAGCCCCACTCTCTTTTAAAAGGTTCACTAATACAACTTATACCAAAATGCCTGTGGACTTCAAGACCAGCACAACTGGAATAGAGGGAACACTAAATGATATATAGAGTTCTTGGGAGTTTATGGGAGAAGGGGCTAACATTGTTGAGATGAAGTCTCAAAAAACATTAAAGAAACAGTTACCAACATTGAACTCAGGAATACTGTAACAAAAGCAGTTGATTTTAAGTGTAGTCTGTGAGGAGATTGTCATCCAAGTCTGAATTCCTGCGGAGGGAGATTCCACAGGTTGGTTCACCGTAACATCGGATTTTAATTTGCTCTTAAAGCAAATCCTTTAAAATTTAGCCTGGAGGTTGAAACTAACAAAAAGCGGAATGGAATGGTCAGTAGTCTTTAGTCTCCACTAGGGGGAAATTCTCAAGATGCTAAGGGGGAAATTTTCTTAAAGCTCCAACAGACTCCTGTTTTAAGTCCAGGAGAGTTGGCTGGAAGTAATTCCTCAGTTGATGGAGGAAAATCCCCACCCCTCACCTGGTTGAACTCCTCATCAGCGTATATATCAATCAAGTCCACTCCTTCTGACATGGCTCCGCAGAGAAGATCTCGGGCCGGGAGAATGGACAAAGTAGGAAATTTGCCACTGCGATATTCAGAAAAGGGCAGAGATTAGAAGGCAAGAAAAGGATCCCGGGCTGGGAGAGGAGGACGATGGTTGCCAACCTCCCGTCTCCAGAGACGCAGGAGCATCCCGGCAGCCCGAGCTCGGCCCCACCCGCTCCGCCCCGCCCCGCCCCCGGCCTCGCGCCGCCCCCAGCTCTCCCAGGCCTCCCGGGCTCGCGGGGCTCGCTGCCCATCACCCGCGGGCCCGACCCGACTTGCGCCGAACCAGCGCCGCAGCCGCTTGTGGCGCGATGAGAAAAGTCCAGGCCTCGGCTCTCAAGGGCCTTCAGGCCCGGCTGTGAGGAACGACCGCGGCGAAGCCCGCTACCTCAGCCCGCCGCACCTGTCTAGGCCCCGGAGCGGCTCCGGCCAAGCCCCGGCGGTTCCGGAAGCTCCCGCCACCTCCGCTTCCCACCCAGGCCCGGTCCTCGCCCCCCCCTCCGGCTAGGCCTCTCCCACTCCCTCCCCACCGGCCCGGCTCGGCGCCCTCGGCCTCCTCTCTCAAAGGCCCAAGCCTCCCTCCGCCCGCTGACTCCGGCCGTCCCAAGCTCAACCGACCCCCTCCCAGCCTCAGCGCCGGCCCCGATCCTTCTTCCGGCACAGCCGGCCCCCGTCCGCGCGCCCCCGTTACCGGGAATATGGCGGCGGCGGCGGCGAGTCCGGACTAGGCCCGAAGCGCGCGAACCGCTCTCCGCCCCAGGTCCCGCCCCCCCCTTCGCTGGCGGCGTCACACGCACCGCCACTTCCGCCATACGCAGGGACGCACCTTCCGGCTCAGGTCCTCGGCGGCCAAGTCCGCTAGGCCGATGGACAGCGTTTCCCGGAAGTTGCCAGGTTGCCGGCTTCCGGTGCAGTAGGGAAAAATGGCTGTGGTCCCTGTGATCCCGACTCTGGCGCGGGTGAGAGAGCTGTGTGTTTTAGGGTCCCGGGAGGGCGGCAGCGAGGATTGAATTCCATCTTTCTCTGTGGTCCTGGAAACTGTGAGGAACATTCAACTGCCCGTAGCCCCAGGGCAAGGTCAGGTCAAGGCGAGGCTAACCCTAGGAGACTGAGGTCATTCCCCATCCTTCGGGGAGCCACTGTGTGTTCGACTGGTGATGCCTGGAAATGTGCGGGTGGATGGTCGGTCATGGTGAGGGAGCCAGTTCACGTCTCATCTACTTCCCCAGGCCGACGGAGCCCAGACACCTGGGTGGTGCCCCTCTCTCCATACCAGTTCGTAACTCTCCAGCACCTGTCGTGATTTTATAGTATCTGGAGCTTCTCTTCCCTTTTGAGACGATCTCATCCTGTGCCCAAGCTGTCCTCGAGATCCTCAGCCTTCAGAGTAGCTGGGATCCACAGCTGTGCATTATCATGCTGGGATTCTTCTTTTTTTTTTAATGTAAGCATTTGCCTCTGTAAATTCTTGGTCCTGTTTTCCCTTTTTGTCACATCTCTTAATTTTTTTTTGTGGCCTTTTTTTTTGTTTGTTTGTCTAGAGATACTTTAATTTTTTTTTTTTCCTTTTGAGGCCAGACACCAGTGGCTCCAATCCTAGTTACTCAGGAGGCTGAGACCTGAGGATTCCCATTGGAACCCACCCAAAGTGGTAGAGTCCCAGCCTTGAGCACAAAAATAGTGTGCTGGGTGGATTTTCCAGTTTTTCTTTTGCTATTGTTGATTTCTAGTTTTATTTCAGTGTGGTTGAATTTATTAAGATTTACTAAGATTAGTTCTTTAGCAAAGACAATTCATCATCTTAAATTTGTCATCACTTGTTTTTAGTAATACAATGTGCAGTCTGGCAGGGGCATTGTTTCTGTGTGCACTGTACAGAAAAGTCTGTTGTTGAGTGGAATACTCTGTGTCAGCTAGCTATTAAGTTTTATTGTGTCATTCAAGTTCTTTTATTTCCCCCTTTTTTTTTTTTTTGGTCAGTTGTAGGACTTGAACTCAGGGCCTGGGCACTATCCCAGAGCTTTTTCACCCAAGGCTAGCTAGCATTCTACCACTTTGAGCCACAGCTCTACTTCCCAGATTCTGATGGTTAATTTGAGATGAGTGTCATGGACTTTCCTGCCCAGACTGGCTTTCAACTATAGTCCTCAGTTCTCAGCCTCCCGAGTATCTAGGATTACATGCGTCAGACACTGGTACTCTACTTATTTTCTTCTTGATCCACCATCTGTTTATTCTGTTATTACAAGTGGAGTCTTGAAATCAACTGTTGCTATTTTTCTTCCTTCAAGACAGTCAATGTTTGCTTTATAGATCTGGATGCTCTGATGTTGAATACATATGTAATTGTTCTATGTGACAGGATCATGGTTCAGAGCCAGCCCATGCAGAAAAATACATGAGACCCTTATCTCCAATTAATCATCAAAAAGCTGGAAGTGAAGCTAACTCAAAAGTGGTAGAACACTAGCCTTAAACAATCAGTGACAGTGCTCAGGGTCTGAATTCAAGCCTCCTGGATTGGCAACCCCCCCTTCCCCGGAAAAAAAAAAAAAAAAAAGTACTTCTAGATCCTGATCCCAGAGATTGTGATCTAACATGTTTAGAGTACAGTTTAGGAAACTGCATTTTTACTACATGTCACATTCATTTGGTTGGGCTACCATAACAAAACACCACAGAGTGGTATAAACATCAAAAGTTTATTTTCTCATGGTTTTGGAGGCTTAAGGTCCAAGGTAAAAATGTTAACAAGTTTGTTTTTCTAAGCCTCTTTTCTTGGCTTAAAGATGCCAGGACTAGAGCTTGAACTCAGGGCCTTGACCAGTTGTTCAGCATTCTTGCTCATGGCTAGTGCTCTACTACTTGAGGCATAGCTCCAATCTAGCATTTTGCTAGATTATTGGAGATAGAGTGAAACTTTTCTGCTCTGGTTGGCTTTGGACTACAATCCTATAGGTTTCAACCTCCTGAGTAGCTAGGATTTTAATTATGTCCTCACATTGTCTTGTAGGTATACGTGCCTAGTGCTTTTCTGACCTGACAATGTGTCTGGATGTGAATCACTTCTCTAGGTTCATGCCAGTCCAGGTTTTGGGCTTCCTGAGCTTACATGTCTATTTCTCCAAATTGTAGAAGTTTCAACCACTGTTTAAGGAAGAGTTCTGCTCCCTTTTTGCTCTCTTCTGAAACTTTCATAATCTGCCCATTGTTCTCCTTGATGCTCACCTACAAATGTTAGGTTTTCTTCATTTTTCATTCTTTTTGGCTCTGTTTCTCTGATTGAGTAGTTCCAAATAACCTGCCCTTGAGTTTACTGCTTCTTTCTTCTGTTTGATCAGGCTTTCTATTGGATCTCTCTAGTGAGATATTTTTTGTTTTTTTAATTCAGTTATTGTATATTCCAGCTACAAATTTTCCATTTTTTATACTTTCTGTGTCTTTGTTGACATTTTCATTTTTTTCATCGGGTAGTTCTTTTTCTTTTTTTCCAATATGGCAGTTTGAACTCAGGTTCTCAGCTCTTGCTCAGCTCCTTGCTTTATGTTAGTTATTTCAAAGATGGAGTGGACTGTTCTGCCTGGGCTGGCTTCACTCTACAGTGCTGTGAATCTCAGCTTGTTGAGTAACTAGGACTACAAACGTGAGCCATTGGCTTTCAGCTACTTCTGGTTTTTTTTTGTTGTTGTTTGTTTGTTTGTTTCCTGGAAATTTATTCTGTCTTTGGCCATATTTTACCTCACAACTTCACATTAGGATTTGTACATTTGAAAGAAGTTTTTTATGGACTGGCTTCACACCAGGAAAGACCTTTAACTGTCAGTAGTGCCTCAAGCCTTTTCTGTAGGTGTATGGTCTTAGGACTTCATGGACATTTCAATTTGTCCATTTTCTCTTCTGGGAGCGAATACTCTGTGGTTCTTTACGGTGCCTGTGTGAGATACTGTGTCCCCTTGGAACTGCTGCAAGTGGCTCAGATCCCTTATTCCCAGTGGGCCTTAGGCTCCTAAAATACACCAGCTCTTGTCAGTGTTCTAGGTTGGACAAAACAGAAACCAGTCCATCAGCCAGCACCCAAAAGAGCCACCGGCTTTTTTATTCTCAGTCGCCTTTAGGTATGTGGAGTAAGCTTCATCCTGGCAGTATTCTGACAAAGGCAAGACAGAAAGTAGTCTTCCAGGCAGCCCCTTCCCACCCCCACCCCACCCCCCTGCCCTTGAAAACCTAGGTTTAGCTGTCTAGGCTTAGCTCTTTCCCTCCCTGGGATTTTTGGGAACTGGCAAGTGAGTGTTGGCCAGTCCAAACCATTGCCTTTGTTTTCCTGGGCCCCAGTTGATAGCACTTACATTCAGGCAAGGCAGAAATCAGCCCCTTGAGCAATGGCCCAGCAGTCAGAACATAGGACATTGTTTTAGTCTTTTTCCTCTCCAGGTAGAAGCCAGGAGCTGCAAGTTTTCAACCAACTCCCTATTCTGGGGGAAAGGGTACTGTGATTTGTGAGGGTCACAGATTTGCCCCTGCTCTTGCACTCTGCCAACTTGCCACTATGTCTCTGCTCTTCTCTGGATTGGGAGCCTTTGGGCATTTAGGGGCCAGACCATGTAGCTTCAATGTTTAACACAGATGAATGACTAGAATACAAACCATACTGTGAGACTTTTCAAGGAATACAAAGAAGGTGAGAATATTTTGCTGGGATAGTATCCGGAAAGATTGGTTAGAAAGTGAGTCTGCAGTATTCTTTGGCTGATTGTCTTTTTTGAGCCTCACACTTCCGACTTGGGGCAGTAAAGTGGGGACAACATCAGCATAACTTCTTTTTTCTTTCTTCAGTCATGGGGCTTGAACTTAGGGCCTGGACGATGTCCCTGAGCTCTTTTGCTCAAAGCCAGTACTCTACTACTTTGAGCCACAGCTCCACTTCTGGGTTTCTGGTGGTTAACTGGAGATAAGAATCTCAAAGACTTTCCTGCCTGGGCTGGCTTCAAGCCAGGATCCTCAGATCTCAGCCTCCTGAGTAGCTAGCTACTCAGCACCTGACTATAACTTTCTGTGTATGTATGTGCCAGTACATTTTTTTTTTTTTTTTTTGTCTGTCATGGGGCTTGAACTCTGGGCCTGGGCGCTGTCCCGCAGCTCTTCAGCTCAAAGCGAGCGCTCTACCACTTGAGCTACAGCACCACTTCCGATTTTCTGGTGGTTTATTGGAGATAGGAGTTTCACGGTCTCTTCTGCCCGGGCTGGCTTTGAACCATGATCCTCAGATCTCAGCCTCCTGAGTAGCTAGGATTACAGGCGTGAGCCACCAGCGCCCGGCTGATGCTCATTTGAGCCACAGCTCCGTTGTTTTTGCCAGTCCCGAGCCTTGAACTCAGGGATTAGGCTCTGACCCAGAGCCTCTCTGTGCCCAAGGCTAGAACTCCACCACCTGAGCCACAGTGCCACTTCCGGCTTTTTTTGTTTATGTGATTCTGAGGAATGGAACCCAGGGCTTCATGCATGCTAGGCAAGCACTCTACCAATGAGCTACATTCCAGGCCCCTGCAGCTCCATTTTTGGCTTCTTGTTGTTAATTAGAGATAAAAGAGTTTCATAGACTTACCTGCCAGGCTAGCTTCAAACCACGATCCTCAAATCTCACCCTCCCGAGTAGCTAGGATTACAGGCATGTCACAAGCTCCTGACTAGCATAACTGCTTTTTTAAATTTGGGGGCTGGGAAGGTGGCTCAGTGGTAGAGTGCTTGCCTCCCATGCAAGAAGCCCTGGGTTCGATTCCTCACTACCACATAAGCAGAAAAAGCCAAAAGTGGCACTGTGGCTCAAGTGATAGAGTACTGGCCTTGAGCTGAAGAGCTGAGGGACAGTGCCCAGGCCCAGAGTTCAAGCCCCATGACAGACAAAAAAAAAAAAAAAAATATATATATATATATATAATTTTAATTGTTATTATTAAGGTGCAGTACAGAGGGGTTACCATTTCATAAGTCAGGTAGTAAGTACATTTTTTTGGACATCCCTTAGCATAACTTTTTTTTTTTGCCAGTCCTGGGCCTGAACTCAAGGCCTGGGCCCTGTCCCTGAGCTTCTTTTGCTCAAAGCTAGCTCTACCACTTGAGCCATAGCACCACTTCCAGTTTTTTTCTGCTTATGTGGTACTGAGGAATCACTCAGGACTTCATGCATGCTAGTCAAGCACTCTACCACTAAGCCACATTCCCAGCCTTAACGTAACTTCTTAGTGACTAAATGAGGTCTGTTGCATTTAATGCCTCCTAAGTGTTGAGTAAATGACGGATGGTAGTCATGGTTATTATAAAGACCCTGTGGTTGGTTTGTTTCAGATGCTGTCAAGGCACAGCCTGTTGTCTCCTTTGCTCAGTGGGACATCATTCAGACGCTTCTATAGAGGTGATAGCCCATCAGATTCCCAAAAGGACATGATCGAAATCCCTTTGCCTCCATGGCAGGAGAGAGCAGATGAATCCATAGAAACCAAAAGAGCCCGGCTGCTGTATGAGAGCCGGAAGAGAGGGATGTTGGAAAACTGCATCCTCCTGAGGTAGAGAATGGGTTTGGGTGGCACTCCTCTTGGATCGGAAACAGCCTTTGCAGCCTCTTTTTCCTTTGTGTTTTCAGTCTCTTTGCTAAAGAACATCTGCATAACATGACTGAGCAGCAGCTGAACCTCTATGATCGCCTGATTAATGAGCCTAGTAACGACTGGGATATTTACTACTGGGCCACAGGTACGGGGCTTATCACATGAAAGGCTGATCTAAGTCTGAAGTTATATCCCAGGTAGTGACCTCCTTTAATTCATGTAATGAACGCAACCCAGCAGGCTAGTGTTTACCAAAATGTGCAAAATTTGTTATTTGTCAGTTAAGATTCTTTGGTTTTTTTGTTTGTTTGTTTGTTTTGCCAGTCCTGGGGCTTAAACTCAGGGCCTAGATGCTGTCTCTGAGCTACTCTACCACTTAAGCCACAGCACCACTTCTGTTTTTTTCTGATTAGTTAATTGGAGGTAGCCGGGCGCCAGTGGCTCACGCCTGTAATCCTAGCTACTCAGGAGGCTGAGATCTGAGGATCGAGGTTCAAAGCCAGCCCGGGCAGCAAATTGTGAATAAACCTCCAAAAAACCATAAGTGGTTCTGTGGCTCAAGTGGTAGAGCGCTAGCCTTGAGCTGAAGAGCTAAGGGACAGTGCTCAGGCCCAGAGTTCAAGCCTCACAACCAATAACAACAACAACAACAACAAAAGTTTAATTGAAGGTAAGAGTCTCACAGACTTTGCTGCCCATTCTGGCTTCAAACCACAATCCTCAAATCTCAGCCTCCAGAGTAGCTAGTATTTCAGGCGTGAGCCACCAGTGCCCAGCAGGTTCTTTTTTTGTTTGTTTGTTTGTTTTTGTTTTTTTCCAGGGCTGAGAACCGAACCCAGGGCCTTCCGCGCACCAGGCAGGCACCCTTCCGCTGGGCAAAACCCCCAGCCCCAGGTTCTTTGTTTTTAAGACAGAGTTGAAACTCACTCTAACTTAAGCAAAAAGGGAATTTGGTGGGAAAATAGATGAAATTCACTAGATGAAATGGAGTGTAATTTACCAGGTCCAAGTCATGCTTGCTAGACAACAGATCAATGAAGTCAATGTGAAGATCAGTTAAGTCAATGTGACTTGCTGTGTCATTCTTTCCTTTCCCTTGCTGTTCTTTTGTGCTTTCACTACTGAGTAATACTTGATAAAAACAAGTATTCCCAATTCCTAAAAGGACTGTTGAGGGCTGGGAAGGTGACTCAGTGGTAGAGCGCTTGCCTCGCATGCATGAGGCCCTGGGTTCGATTCCTCAGCACCACATAAGCAGAAAAAACCGGAAGTGGCGCTGTAGCTCAAGTGGTAAAGCACTAGCCTTGAGCTGAAGAGCTGAGGGACAGCACCCAGGCCCAGAGTTCAGCCCCCACGACCGGATCAAAAAAAAAAAAAAGGACTGTTGAAATCTACTGTTACAGTTATGTGTTTGTTATTCCTTTCACTTCCCTCAGTCACTTTGCCTCACATTTTGAAGCTCTGATGTTAATATGTAAACATTTAGGATTGTTGTATCTTCCAAGTGAATTGTTTCCTTTAGCAATGCATCTGTCAGTCTTTACAATTGACCATGGCTCTTGTTCTGAGGTGGCTGGTAGTAATCTAGATACTTCAACTTTCTTTAATTAATTTTTGCATGGTATCTGGCTTTCCATCTGAATTAGTTTCCTCTTGCAACCAACATAAACTTTAAATAACATCCATTTATTAGCTCATTATTTTTTGGTTTTGGTTTTTTTTTTTTTTAGTCAGTTGTGGGGCCTGAACTGTTCCTGAGCTCTTTCAGCTCAAGGCTAGCCACTTGAGCCACAGCGCCACTTCCGGCTTTTTCTGGTTATGTGGTGCTGAGGAATCAAACGCAGGGCCTCGTGCATGCAAGGCAAGCACTCTACCACTGAGCCACTTTCCCAGCACCTCATTGGTTTTTTTTTTTTGTCAGAAACTGTGTCCTTTGAACCATGATCCTCAAATCTCGGCCTCCTGAGTAACTAGGATTTCAGGCGTGAGCCACTCTCTGAAATCAGTATTTCAGGGGGTTCTCCATTCCCTTTGGAAACTCTAGGGTAGATTTTATTTGTAAGCCCATGCAGGTTCAAGATTCATTTCCTTGTCCTGAGAACAGAGATTCCCATTGTCATACCATCAGCTGATCTCCTTTAGCTTGAGTCCTTGCTACACGGCCCCTCCCCTTCAGCTTTGAAGAGTCTCTCTCCCTCACATTGAGTCTCAAGCATCTGTCTCTGACTTCCTCCCTGCTTACTACCTGGAGAGAGCCCTGTTTTTAAGGAGCTCATGTGATTTGGTCAGCTCTCTCTAGTCATTTTTGCCACATAATACAAACTAGTTACAGGAGAAAAGTCTCATATCCAGAGCCTATACTAGAAGAGTAAGGAATATTGGAGGCCATACTGTAAGTCTACCTCACATGCCATTCTTTTACCTCATTGGGAAAAGCCCAGGTGTCTTTTTCCCTTACTCTCATACCACAGTCAACATAACATTGAATTGAATTCTGTCAGTGTCAGATCACATGGATTGAGAGCTCAGTCCTCAAGATTGGCCCCCATTTCAGATACCAGGTGCAAACTCCAGGTGGTTTTACCTGTGCCTCTAACCAGCTGGCTATAATTGGGGTTCTCACAACCCCTCACCTCTTGATTAATTTCCTCCAGCAGTTCACAGAACTCATGTAAATACCTTCTTATGTTATCATAAAGGAACTTTTAAAAAAGACACAATGAAGGGAAGTGTGGGGTGATGTAGGGGAGAAAGGGTGAGGAGTTTCCGAGGCTCTTCTGTGCCCTCTCTTGGTGAGCCATCCTCCAGGAACCTTTGTGTGTTCAGCTGTCTGGAAGCTCATAAATCCTGTCTTTTGGGACTTTGTGGAGACTTCATTGCATAGGGATGATTGCTAAGAGACCCAGTAGGAAACACAGGAAGACGTGTCAGTTCAGATCCTTGTTGCAGCATTCCTTCCTTCAAGGTGTGAGACGGCACTTCTGGGATGAGGTGGATCTTATGGCCAGGGCAGAAAATTTCTTCACAGGCAGCTCCAGGACACTTTCTGCTTTGAGCAGAGAGTTATAAGCCAGGAAACATGGCTGGAAATGAAAGTACATGTAAGGAGAAATTGAAAAGAGAAACACTTCTGCTTTCTCTGTTTTTTAAAAACATTTAAAATTTTTTCATCTTACATCCACCATTTCTTTAATATGTCCCTGTGACTTTTCTTTGTTTGGTCATGGGGCTTGAACTCAGGGCCTGGACACTGTCCCTGAGCTTTTCTACTCAAAGCTAGCATTCTACCACTTTGAGCCATCGCACTACTTCCAGTTTTCTGGTAGTTAATTGGAGATAGAGTTTCACAGGGACTTTCCTGCCCAGGCTGGCTTCAAACTGCACTCCGCAGAACTCAGCCTTCTGAGTAGCTAGTATTACAGCTGTGCACCATCAGTGCCTGGCGCGCGCGCGCGCGCGTGTGTGTGTGTGTGTGTTTTGTTTTAGTTTTAGTATTTCCATTTGACATTCCTTCTAACTCCCTGCTGGAATTCCTCATCTTTTCAAATGCCTTGTCTTTAGAGTCTTTAAATTCCCTGAGGTAGTTCTAATGTCTGAGTCATCCCTGAATCTGTTTTTGTATTCAACAGTGTGAGGTTTCCTTTTCCTTTTTTTTTTTTTTTGTTTGCCGGTCCTGGGACTTGAACTCAGAGCCTGGGCACTGTCTCTGAGCTTGTTTTTGCTCAAGGCTAGAATGCTACCACTTAAGCCATAGTGCCACTTCTGGGTTTTTCTGCTTATGTGATACTAAGGAATCCAGCCCAGGGCTTCATGCATGCTAAGCATGCACTCTACTACTAAGCTAACTTCCCAGCCTTTTTTTCTTTCCTTTTTTTTTTTTTTTTGTCATAGGCTTGAACTCTGGGCCTAAAGAGCTCAAGGACAGTGCTCTACCACTTGAGCCACAGCACCACTTCCCTTTTTTTTTTTTTTTCTGGTAGTTAATTGGAGATAAAGAGTCTCACAGACTTCCCTACCTGGGCTGACTTTGAACCACGATCCTCAGATCTCAGTCTCCTGAATAGTTAGGATTACAGGCATGACCACTGACACCCAGCTCTTTTTCTCTCTGTGTGTGTGTGTGTGTATCATATCATTTTTGTTTGTTTCTTTGAGATAGGATTTTCTTATGCAGCCCAGCCTGGCCTCCAACTTAAAATCCTTCTGCCTTAGTCTCCCCAGTGCTAGGGATTACAGGTATGTGCCACCATCTCTAGCTGCATTGTGTAATTTCTCTTGAATGTAAGACATCACGAGGAAGACATTAAAAGACTGAGATACGAGGTAATTTTGGCTTGAAGTGGGTGTACTCCTCCTAGGTTGTTGTGTTGGGGATTGAGTCAGTTGGGTTAAGAGTTAAGCTTAATTTGCATTTTGTTTTTGCTATGTTTACCTTAAGGGCATCATGAGCTTCTTCTGTTACCGTTACCAGAACCTGTTTTCAAAGATATTTTCGGTGTTCCTGTTTTACCCTTATCTGTTGGCCTTCCTATATTTCTGTGCCTCAGAGGGAATTTCCCCTCGTTCTTAACTGCCCCTAACAGAAGATGGCTGCTGGTGAGTTTAAGGAAGGAGAGGCTGGCATTCTCTGTGTGCTCTGGAGCTGCTGCCCCTTATCTCAGGATTAAAGGGTGTCTTGTTTGTCTGATTTTAAAGATTTTTTTTTGTTAGTGTGTATTAGTTATATAAGAGGGTGTCAGTATCTTTTGCATGCATACGAGGTACCCCAATCAAACTCCCTCCCTCCGTCTCTTTCCCCCATCCTTCCTCTCTTCTTCTTCTCCTTCTTGTCAGTCATGGAGCTTGAACTCAAGGCCTGGGTGCTGTCCCTGAACTTTTTCACTTAAGGCTAGCACTCTACCACTTTGAGCCACATCACCATTTCTAGTTTTCTGGTGATTAATTGGAGATAAGAATCTTACAGACTTTCTGCCTGGGCTGACTTCAAACCAGTCCTCAATTCTTAACCTCCTGAGTAGCTAGGATAATAGCTGTGCGCCACCAGCACCTCCTTTCCTCTTCCTTTTTTTTTTTGGTTGGTCATGGGGCTTGAATTCTGGGCGCTGTCCCTGAGCTCTTCAGCTAAAGGCTAGAGCTCTACCACAGCCACAGCACCACTTCTGGTTTTCTGAGTGGTTGATCGGAGATAAGAGTCTCACGGACTTGACTTTCTTCCCCGGGATGGCTTTGAACCATGATCCTCAGATCTCAGCCTCCTGAGTAGCTAGGATTACAGGCGTGAGCCTCCGGTGCCTGGCAGCCTTTCCTCTTGTTAAAGCAGTTCAACAAGGCTTTATTGTTCTGTTTTCATACACATTTATGAATTGCTTAGTCTGCGTTCACCCTCATTCACCATCTGTTCTTCCCCACACTGGTACCTGATTCCCAATAGCCTGTTTTACTTTCCTGTAGTTTTTTTCCAGTGTATATTAGTTGTACAAAGGGTTTTCACCACCATGATTCATATATATGCATATTATATTTAGACAGATTAACTCATTCTGTTCTTCCTCTTTCCTGGTCCCCCTACTTCCCTGTGTCCAACCGCTTTCAGTGAGTTTCCTGTGCCCTCCTTTACTCTTCTGCTCTTCTTCCGGTCTACATCAGTTCTCACCTGAAAGCTGAGAGAGACAGGAATTTTGTACCTGCTCTCAGACAGTAGAGGGTTTCATTATGTAGAGAGGAAGCGCCACCTGGGCCTCTTGTTTCTTTACATGGGAGCTGCTCTCCTCCTGGCCTGCACTTCTGAGGCAGGTTTTCTCCAGCCTCCTGCTCTGCACCTAGTCTCTACCAGGAGCACACCCAGTGTGGGGTGCCAGTTCTACTTGTGTCTGTGGCCTCCAGGGCTGGCTCACACTTGGCTCTAAACGGTAAACTGTTTTAGCTGAATTCTTCTTACCTGTTCTTCCTCCTCCTCCTCTTCCTTCTCCTCCTTCTCTTCCTCTTCTTTTCTTTTGGAAACACTGGGGCTTTAACTCAGGGCCTCACACTTACTGGGCACAAGCTCTGCCACTTGAACCACACCCCCAGCCCTGTCTCTATTTTACGCATATCTGCCACCTGTGAGCCAGTAACCTCTTTGAAGGACTTCTCTTTTCTTACCCATTGTATTTCATTGCCCTGACAACTCAGTTCTTTGACAGCTTCAAGAAAAATCATGCTGGGCACTGGTGGCCCATGCCTGTAGTCCTAGCTAATCAGGAGACTAAGATCTGAGGATTCTGGTTCAGAGCAACCTCGTGCAGTAAAGTCTGAGAGACTCATCTCCAGTTTACTACCAAAAAACTGGAAGTGGCACTGTGGCTAAAAGTGGTAGAGCACTAGCCCTGAGCAAAATAGCTCAGGGACAGTGCCTAGATCCTGAGTTCAAGCTCAATAAAAAATCTTGATAATTGTTTTCTGGCTTTTTCCTGTTGTTAAAGCAGGTATAATACTTATTCCAATTTCTACATCATAAAGAGAAGTCCGACACCCCTTACTCTGGGTTGTCAGAACCTCCCCCTGCCTCCCGAAATTCATTGTTGCCAGGTCCTCTGTTGAATAGAGGGGAATCTGACTTAAGTTGCAAAGGTTCCCTCTCCTGCTATTGTATTAGTCATGACAGCGCAGATCCAGTGCACACTGCCTAATCTTTGCCAACAGGAGGCTTTGTGTGGAATTTGTAGGCTTAGCAAGTGTCTCAAGGGTGAAAGAAACTTTGGAAGTGACAGCAGCTGCCACACTCCTGTGGCCATCCTCATTTCTTTGCTCCGTGCCTTTGTTGCTTGTCCACTTATATCAGGCTCTTGCAGTTCTGTGTGCCTCTACTATCCTTCCAGTAAAAGCCCTTTTTGCTTAAGTTAATACTAGAATATTCATTTCTGTCACTTATCACTGAGGACCTCCAACAAAGAAAGTAAAGCCTTTGTCTCACAAAATTTATAAATTATAAGGGAAGGACTGGGATATAGCTCAGTGGTAGACTTCTTGTCTAGCATGGATGAAGTCTTGAGTTCTATCTCCGGTATCATGGAGGATTGTGGAGGGAGGAAGAGAAGAGAGAGGAGGAGGAGGAGGAGGAGGAAAGAAGAAAAAACAGTGGCAGTATGGCTAAGTGGTAGAGTACCAGCCCTAAGTGAAAAAAGAGAGAAGGAAGGAAGGGAAAGAGAGAAGAAAGGAAAAGGAAGGAAAGAGGGAGGGAAGGGAGCAAATGATAGAGGGAGGGAACACAATAGAGTGATCTCCCCATGTCTGAAAGTAATTAATTCCAAGACCCCTAGTGGATACCTGCAGCTGTGGATAACCCTGAGCCCCGTACATAGCCTATATCACACACCACAGTGTCAGCACACTGTACTGGAGTTAACCTGTGCTTTCGTGTTCTGTGCCCTGCGCCTCTTTGCCTCACTACTCTTGTGCTTTGGACCATTACTAAGGAAAGAGCAGTTACTTGGATGCAAGAGCTCATAATACCTTGATGGTCAAGGCCAAACACTGAGATGACTACAAAGTATTGATAGCAGGTGGTGTACTGATAGCAGGTGGTGTGTGTGTGTGTGTGTGTGTGTGTGTGTGTGTGTGTGTGTAGTACAACACTAAGCAGGACAGTGTAAAATTTCATTATGCTGGTCAGAATAGCATACAGCTTAAGACTTACTATTTCTGGAATTTTCCATTTAATATTTCCAGACTGTGTTTGACTCCGAGGTAAATGAAACTCTGCGGCTCAGATAGGGAGGAATAACTGCACCCAGAAAACAGCGGAAAGGCCAAGTGCAGAGCAAAGTGGTTAAGCCCAAGATTGCTCAGGGCAGGCATCAAGCAGATTCGGGCATAAAGGATCAGATAGTAAATATGGAATCTTGCTGTCATACGATCTCAGTCACGGTTACCCAGTTCTGCCATTGTAACACAAAAGGAACTGTAGATCTTGTGCAAACAATGTGAGCAGCTGTTCCAACAAAACTGTTTACAAATAGAGGCCATCAGCTTGCTGCCAAGCCCTGCCGAGCCTAATGTCCCATCTATTGAGAGGGAGGATGGAGAGGGTCCATTAATACATCTGTGGTTCTTGGCCAGAGCCAGAGTTTCCATTTTTAGGGCCTATACCTGAGCCCTGACTGATGGTGACATAACGCTTTTCTGCCCATTCTTCTCTTGTAGAAGCAAAACCAGCCCCAGAAATATTTGAAAACGAAATCATGGCCATGCTGAAAGAATTTGCAAAAAACAAAAACAAAGAGCAGAGACTACGCGCCCCAGATCTTGAGTATCTCTTTGAGAAGTCGCATTGAGCTAGCTGCGTGTCACTCCCCTTCCTGGCTCGGTATGTGGACGGTAACTGCTTATGACACTGGCTTTGACCTGCTGCTTCTCCCCCTTCAAGTGATGGTCACCCCTGTCTCCTGGAACTGACATGTAAATGTTCAGTGCTTCTCTTAACATGCTTTTTTTTTTTGGTCCTGAGCCTCCAACGTTGTTGGTCAGCATCTAGCATGGGAGGCATCTGGCCTTGTGTGGCTGCTGGGGAGCAGGTCTGCCACAAGAGGGCACTGTAGCAGAAGCCATTGTGCAAGGCACAGCCTCAACCCCAGGGTAGGCAAGGAAAAAAGGCAGCCAGCGCCAAGTGCTGTGTGAAAAGCCACTATCCCACCCCCCGCCCCTAACGGCCCCCCGGCTTTGTCAAAATGGAATTCCCTCCTTAAACCTGGTAGGATCCTTTCTGCCAAGGAAAACTGATCCAAGCCCCCTGAGCGGACCCCTTCAAAGGCACAGCAGGTAGAAGAAGGGCAGCAGGCAGAGCAGCGTGGGCACACTGCATAAGGTAAACCTCCTCATGGTCAGTTTCTCTAAAACGTGCACTTTTGTCATGGGAAGATAATTGAGTATTAAAGAACACCAAGAAAGGGAAGTCAACAGTTCCCCCATCGTCACAATGACTTCCTTTGTCTACTCTCACATAACCCATAGTCCTATTTCTAAGCGTTTTACAAGGTCACAGGCACAGGTTTGCTTTCCATGTGGCCTCCTCATGAACTTGTCCCTTGTTCCTGCTACCTGCATAACCGTTACCTCACGAAATAGCAATACATAAGAAGTAACACATTAGAACAAAATTATCAGAGAGCTTAGGTCTGGGACCAGTTCTGCATGGTTAGAGATGGTCCTCTGAAAGGGGCTTTGCCTGTGATTTATTAGAAATGGTGGTCACTCAGATCAGCAGGGAGAATCCTGAAGTGTTTGCTAGAAGAAGGCCAGCTGGAATTGATGAACACGTGGTTGGTGATCACAGAGCTACAGGCAGGGAGGAAGTAGGTTCTCAGGACTGTTGTGGGGAGGGGGTGTCAGCCTCACCACGAGTCCAGCCTGCCCCTTGGAGTCCCTGGCTAAGGAAGGAAGAGAGCCAGCTTTTCCTTACATAGTGGCTCAGAGCTCAGTGCCCTCACGGGCCTATTTCATAGACAGAAAGTTGGCTCAGAGAGAGGAAGTCAGCTGTCCAAGGTCAGGTAGTTACTGCGTCACAAATCCAGAACTTGGGATGGCTCCGTCTGCCTCAAAGCTCATGAATGTTCCGCTAGCAGATGCTGCTTTACTGCAGGAAGCAGAAAATCCATGCCTCTGAGGATCTTTCTGGGAAAATTAAGGCAGACAAACTACAGTTCTGACTCGTGACCTCCTCCACAGGGGTAGAGGGCTACCAGGTGCTACTGAGAATGCAGCATAGTACACTGGCTACAAGTTCAATTCCTGGCTCTGTTTTTGATATACTGGATTAATGTATTGGCTCCAGCCTTCTCCCTGCCTGGAAGAGCCGAGGAAAGGAAACCCATGATGCTCTTACATGGAGTTCACTAAGAGAACATTTCAGGAGCCTGTGGTCTTCTGAAACAAATCATCCAGCACATCAGCACGGTCATTATCACTACATGCAGGCAAGTTCATCTGCAAGCCAGAGAGGCAGCCTATTAAAGTAGCCACAGCAGAGGGTGTCTCTTCAGCCTGGGAAAACTGGGATGAAAACAGAGCCTGGTGACAAGTCCTTTGATGGAAAAGTCTAGCACGCTCACATAGAGCAAGAAGCAGGAGCGAGGCTTAGAAGGCAGGAGCAGGAGCTTACAGGAGACTCTGGCCATTCTCTCCAGCCTCTTCTGATGTCTCGTGGGGAGAATGTTAAGCAGGCAGTTTATATATAGAAACCTATCTGGACTGGGAGATGTGCACACGAATCGGGCGATGACTTTACCCATTTATCCTGGGCCTGTTACACAACAAGCTCCCGAAGCCAAGTGTGCGGAGTGGGCTTCACCCCCACGGTGGAGCTGAGCCCTCCTTACCCCGATTTTGCCTTGTGTCACATCATGATCGGCTTCCACCACTGCCACCTGGGAATGGCACACTCGTAAAGGAACTGTTCTCCGCCCAGGCTGCTGGCTTCTGTCATCTGGGAAAAGGAAGGATCTTGCTAATCTCAGCTGCTTAGTGTTAGGCCCAAGGGTGCTATGTAAACAGTTTTCCCCTTTATTAGGCATTAAGTAAAACTAGGCCGGCCATAGCACATTTAAACAAAATTAATAAACATATAGAAAAGGCCAGCAGCCCCTGAGGATGCCTGGAAAGAGCAGCCAGACGCATTCCTCTGATACCTGGCTCCTCGCTGACCTCTTTCTGAGCCTGCGCCGTCACAGGAGCGTCTGGCCTGCCCCGAGCAGTGCAAGGTGGTCTCCAGGGTCCTCTTGGAAGGGCTTCTGCATGACACATCAAATTGGGTCAAGGCTGTTCCCTTCTCACCATTTCCTCTCTTCCTCATTTTAAGTCTTCAGAAATCCATTTGCTAACCACCTTGTGCTCAGGCTTTCTGTGCCTCAGGTAGATTGTGTCTTTGGCGGGGAGGGGGGGCACTGGATTTTGCACAGTAGGTGGAGGTCCACTGGTCAGTCTCTTCATATAGGGCAGCACTAATCTATAACCCAGTTTATATTTTTAAACCAAACAGGAAGGATTGCTGTGAGATAGGCGAGAGTCTCACATTTATCCTTCACTCCCCCAGCTGCTCTGTGGCTAGCTGGAGAGAGGAAGGCTAGCAAGCATTTGACTTTGGGGTTGACAGCTCACCCTACAGAACCTAGGACACTGGACACCTTACCCCAAGTTGTTGGTGTGGATACTGGTAAGGCCGAGGCAGTCACCCTGTGCACTCACTTGGAATAGCCCTCCCTCTGGGAGTGACGAGCAGCATGGGCATCTTCTCCCGTGTGGTAAAACGGGATGGGTGGGACTACTCCATGGCTCTGAGACTAAAACCCCCAGTCTAGTTCTGTGGCTCATACCTATAGTCCTAGCTATTTGAGAAGCTGAGGCAAGATCATTTGAGCCTAGGAGTGGAGAGCCAGCTACCTAACAAGACCCCGTCTCAAAAAAGAAAAAAAAAAAAGGTCTATTGGAAGGATTTGGGGGAAAGATGAAGTCATCCAAGATAGTATCCATGTTCAGAAGGGAGGTGTAGAGAACTCCTCTGCTTTATAACCCAGGATGATGACAGGAAAGCTCAAGCCCTATATCTCCAGATACTCTGGCAAAGAAGGGCCAAGTGGACACATGATTGTATGCACCTTCCGCCACAGCAGGTGGCTTTGAACAGCACATGATGTTACCCTGTGCGTTTTGCTTCCCAGTGGGTTTGTTTAGTTAGGTTTTGTTTTTGTGTTTGGCTTGCTTTCTTTTGACACAGGGTGTCACTGGTTGCCTAGGCTGGCCTCGAACCTGCTATCTTTCTGCCTCAGCCTTCTCAGTGCTAGGATTACAGGCTGTGCTGTCATACCTGGCTAGTCAGCTAGGATTTAAGATATTTGTTCATATCTGGTGGTGCCCCTAGAACAAATGTTCAGGGGAGGAGAGCACAGTTGTTAAGAGTGGGGGTTTGAGTCTAGCTCAGTGGTGGATTGCTTGCCTAGCATGTGTGAAGTCCTGGGTTCAGTCCCCAGCATTGCTAGAAAATTGTAAAATAAATAAATTAAAAAGAGCAGCTGTTTGGGAATCACACCTCAGACCTGTGGCACTACCATCTATTAGTCAGTGACCCTGGTCATGTGATTTGACCTCTCCAGACTCCTGTTCCTAGGTGGAAAGGAAGGGATTGGAAGGAGAAGGGAAAGAAGGGAAGGGAAGGAAGGGGCATTGTTCTGGGTGGAAATGAGGTGTGGTTTCATTAGGATCTTGCTCAAAGTCTCAGGAGGGAAGTGAAGGCAGCACTAATCTGAAGGCAGCCGGTGGCCCACGCGCTCCACTCCCCCGCTTTGTCCTCTTGGGCCAGGGCCTTCCTATCCCGGGTCTTGTCTCGCTCATGCTGACAGGCCACCCTCTTGTGGTCAGAGCCAGAGATAAGGTCACACTTGAGCCAAGTACTTGACCTAAGTACGGAACCCTCCAAGGAGGACACACGCAGCCGAGTGAGCCTCCCTGAGTCATGTTTGGAGCTCAGATTTCCTTTGGGTTTGGGTGACATCAATGGAAGGGTTCAAGTACTGGCCTGCACCAAGATTTCCTCCTCACCCTGGGCCTCAGAAATGAGGTGTGAACTCTCAGAGCCTTTGCGTCACTGGGAGGCTGGCTCAGAATTGAACGTATCTGTCAGCAAGCGCACGAGAACTGTATCCAGGTGATCCTAAAAGTTGCTTCATTCCTCCAGCTCCAAGGCTTTTGCTGACAAGCCATGCTGGAGGCTGTGGGGCCAGCCCTCCTGGGAGCAGGGTCATCCCCTGGCTCACCAGCTTCTCCAGCTCCCATCCCTCAGGGTTTTAGTAGATGCTGCAAAAGAGACCGAGTTTCCAGGCTAAGTAGAAACAGACAAGGGATGCTCAGAAATCTAATTTGAAAGATATATTGTAATGGTTTTCACTAGATGCTGGGGATGGGAGAAGAATGTGTTTGGTCTGTCCTTGAGGCACGCAGTGTTTATTCTTCTACAGTTTATTTCATTGATTGTCGAGCAATGTGCTACACCCTGTGCCAGACACAGAGACAGATCAATGAGATATAGCTCATGCCCCGGGGACCTCTGGAGGAGGAGGGACAAATGAGTGGACAGCCACGGCTCTCGGGCACTGGCCCTGACAGCAGGCAGTCCAGAAAGGATCTAGTCAGTTTTAAGATTATGTGGAAGACTCTTCACCCTGCCATGTCCCTGCCCTTTGCCAGCTGTGGGCCTTTCACTGGCCAGTGGGACATCAGTGATTGGGAAATAAGCAGCTGCGTTCTTTTCTTTGACTGTATTAGGGTTTGAACTTATGATCTTGCATGTATTAGGCAAAAAGTGCTCTGTTATGTGAGCTACACTCATGTTCACTTGGACATGGTAAGATGTTTCTGATGGGGCTGTGCAGTGTACATGTTGGTGACCCATTTACTCTTCACTCCCATCCTATCACACAACTTTACTGTATCCAGGTTCATCTCCTATGGATGGATACCCGAGCTGTTTCTAATTTCGGACCGTTAATAAAGATAACTGCAAACCTTCTTGTGAACCTATGTTTTCATTTTTCTTGGTCCTATATAGTTTGGATCTTAAACTTGAAGTTCCCCAATACTCAGTGTGTTAAAGGTTTAGTCACCAGTAGGAGATGCTGGGACCCTGAGGAGGTGGATCCTAGTGGGAGGATGTTAGGTAATTGGGGGCGTGCCCATGAATCAAGTATTGGGACTTCACCTGCTTCTAGTCTCTCTGCTTCCTGGCTGCCATGAGAAGCAGAGGCTTCCTCTGTCCTTTGCTCCCACAGTGATACTGTGCAGCCCACAGGACCAACTAATGGGCCAAGTGACTATGGGCTGAAAACTCTGAAACTAGGGCAAGACAAGCCTGGTCAGGGGTTGAATTATCTCAGATATTGGTTACAGCAACTGAAAGTTGGCTAACACATGAGCGACTACCTAGGAGTTGAATTGCAGGGTTATAAAGTAGGTCTATATTAGTTTAAAGAAACTTCTAAAGCTTCGAGAGTAGTACCATCTTCCATTCCTATCAACAAAGTATGGGAGACTCATTTGCCCACTGGCTTGTGTGTGTGTGTGTGTGTGTGTGTGCGTGCGTGCACGCGCACAGATCACAGATTCTGGGCACAGTCAAGACCTGGGAACAGTCTCTGAGCTTCTTTTTTTTTTTTTTTAACTGAGGTTAGCATTCTACCATTTGACCCATGGGGGGATGACTTTGACCATGATCCTTAGATCTCAGCCTCCCTCTGAGTAGCTAAGATTACAGGTGTGAGCCACCACCACGCCTAGCCTACTTACTATTATTTATATCTAAATTGAAGATGAAATTCTCCATCAAAATGTAATTCTTTTTTTAAACCTTCATATTAGCCAGTATTACAGACACCCAAACTACACGGATATAGGTACAAAAGTTTGTGGGACATCATCTCAACCAATGGCTGGGTATGGTGGTGTTATCCCAGCTACAAGAGAAACATGCCAACCCTGGAAATAAAGTGAGACCCTCTGTGGAAAACCAGTGGAAAAAGGAGGCATGGCTCAAGTGGTAGAATCCCTGCCTAGCAAGTGCAAGACCCTGAGTTCAACCCCCAGCACCATCAAAACAGGAAAAGAAAAAAAAAAGCCAGATTGATGGACCCTGACCTCCAGCCTTGGATCTCCTGGGCTCCTGGAGCTCTCGTTAGCAGGTCTTGACATGACCCCTTGAATCCGAAAGTACACAACCTTCAAAGATGTGTGAACTGCTCTCCCTTCATGCCAGCATCCCAGGGCAGAGGTGGGGCAGGGCAGCCCCAGGGAAAATGCCCATGAGAAGAGGATGCTGATTAGGGCCCAGACGCACTGATCTGGATCCTGTGGGATACACATTTTGTAGGCTAAGGAGAATCCTCTGCCCTGGATGCTATGCCTGTCATCTGGAGGTGCATCCTTTCCTACTACCCTCCTTTGGCACACCTGAAGCAAGAACTCTGCCCTGATTCCTTAGCAGTTTTAGGTCTTAAAGGGTCTCAGGCTTTAAAAGACCAGAATCGTGATTTCTTTGGCATTATTGTTCACAAGTTTTCAGCAGGCTCACCTGTATATTCCATGTGACTTCTATGTCTCAGAGCACCATGGTGCCCTTTACGTGGCAACTTGACTGGGATATTGGGTGCCCAGATGTTTGAGAGTGTTTCAGGATGAGACAAACATTGAAATCAGGCCAAATAAAACAGGTTTCCCTCCCTACTGTGGATGAGCCCTGACTCATCAGGAGGCCTAAGTAGAACAGAAAGTCTAACCTTCCTCTGAGTAGGAGGAAATTCCTCCTACCGATTGCCTTCAGAGTGGGACATTGACTTATCTTCTGCCTTCACACTCAACCTGAAATAAGGGCTCTTGCTGGATTCCAAGCTTCCTAGCCTTCAGACAGAGGCTGTATGTATCTTCAGCTCACTTGATTCTAGGACTTTGGCCTTAGAATAGAGCTAAGCTACCTACTTGCTGCTCTGGGTTTGCAGCTTACCAACTTGGATCTTGGGACTTGCCAGGCTTTGAATGAGTCAGTTCCTTACAATAAATCAACACGTGTGTGTGAGAGAGACAGACGGACAGAGACAGAGACAGAGGCCTGTGTGTGTATGTGTGTATACAAAGCACTATCAGTTCTGTTTCTCTGAAGAACTTGACTAGTACACAGAACACACCTTAATTTCTTTCCCAAGACATTTCTTTCCCAAATCCTCTTTGCTTTCCTTATTTCGCAGCAATGCTTCCACAGCTTATTCTCCAATACTCAGGAGCATAAACCAGTCTTCCATGGAGTAGCTTGGCAATCCAGCCATCTTTTGTTTTGTTTTTTTTTCCCAACCATGTGTGGCGCCTCCACCTAGAGAAAAACCTCTCCCTTCAGATACAGCATTCCACAGTTCCTCCACCAACCTCCTCAGCCCCCGCCCCCCACTAGCGGCAAGGGAGTCTGGGAAATGTAGTAATTACCATTGGCATCTACCAAGAGCTTTCTGCTTGATGGCTGCTTGCTAAGCACTTGAATGCTGTCTGTTCAGAGACCTAGCTCTATAGCTATGTTCTCCCAGGACGAAATCATCCACAGGCTGAGAGAGGTTGAGGAGGTGAGCCAAGGCCACGACCTTCCTCAAGGCTAGGCTTGAGATCTGAACCCAGATCCCTGCGCACATGGGCACGTCCTCGGAACCCCTCCCTCCCTCATCACTGTACAAGAAGCTCACTGGGCCTGGGGCAGGTTGGGACTGGTTCTTGTTTTCTGCTTCATCTCGCTTGTCTTCTGCAGGAGTCATGAATTTTTAAAACTTGTGCAAGATCAACAAGTTCACCCAGAGGAGACAGCGAAAGAACAGAACAGGCAGAGACAGAACAGTCATAAATAAGCCGGCAGAGCTCTTCCGGGCAACGTGCGCAGCAGCAGGGAGCCATCCTGCCCACCCCACAGGAACACTGGAAGTTAGCTGTGCTGATGGGTTGTACCTAACACGCCGTGGCTATGTAGGAGGCAGGAAGGGGGCCGCTGCATCCCTTTCCTTCTAAGAACAAGAAGTGGGAGGAGGGTGTTGGGGTACTAGGGCTGCAGCAGCTCCCCATGGTGAGGGTGCTTAGTGAATGCAGCCCCCACAGCACTTTTTAAAGATGGGCTCAATCAGGTGCCAGTGACTCACACCTGTAACCCTAGTTACTCAAGAGTCTGAGATCTGGGGATAATGGTTCAAAGCCAGCCTGGGCAGTCTGTGAGATTTTTATCTTCAATTAACCACCAAAAGGACCGAAGTAGAGCTGTGGCTCAAGTGGTAGAGCACCAGCTTTGAGCAAAAACAAAGCTCAAGGAGTTGGGTGCTGGTGGCTCATGCTTATAATCCTAGCTACTCAGGAGGCTGAGATCTGAGGATTGTAGTTCAAAGCCAGCTGGGCAGGGAACTCCATGAGACTCTTATCTCCAATAACCATTCAGAAAACTGCAAGTGGTTCTGTGGCTCAAGAGCTGAGGGACAGCACCCAGGCCCAGAGCTCAAGCCCCAATACTGGCACAAAAACAAGCAAAACATTTCTCCAGGAGGGGCCTCTGTGCCATCGGGGCGGGGGTGGGGGTGGGGGCTGGTGTTCACACACAATGTATATGTGGGAAGGGGTGGCCCTGGGTGGGGTTCATCAGATGTCTGTTCCCATGGCAGAATGGGAGGGCTGAGTCCTCTGGTCCATGTTGGGTTCTGGACTAGGAGGAATGGCCGGTGCTGGTCCAGCTAGTAGCGGTGCTAAGCATGGTCTAGAGTGAGCGGACTTCTCTCCATTTAGCCCCGAAGCAAGCAGGCAGGGTGGCCGGAGCTGGGAGGATGGCCCTGTGGTCTCTCAGCTATTTCAGGATGGGCAGAGGGGACATGAAGCAAAGCATCATTTCAGTATCACTTTGAAGGACTGCCAAGGCCAAACAAACAACACATCGCAAACTAAAAGCAAAGGAGCCAAACCCCCTGTTCTGGCTCAGCATCTTCTTCATAAGCAGAGGGACCAGAGAGGAGCCATCTATTAAGAAAAGTCACACACAAAATAATGGCATTCGCAGGGAAATGGATGGAACTAGAAGAAATCATGTTGGGTGAGGAAAGCCAAGAGCAAAGAGACAAACGACACATGGTCTCCCTGATAAGTGGATGTTAAACCCAAAACGTAAGGTGATACGACAAAGTTAACAAGACTCAAGAAACAAAGGGCCTCCATTCATCAGGTCCAATCACTATAAATACCCCATACTGCTGATCACATATATGGTACATATGTGCACATCTGAGGGAAACCAGGAGGAGGACACAGAACCAGAGGGAAACGGGAAAACAGACCACAGTGGGACCCATCAGCTGCACTGGACATTGATCGAAATGAACTAAGCAACTCGGTGACAGCAATGGGAGGGAGGGAATGAGTGGGAAAGAGGGAACAGCTGACCCTATGCAAAAGGAAAGGAATGTACACATCACCCGATGTGAGAGAAAGAACCATACAGTCAAAGCCATAGAACTCATACACTTTATAGACCACAATGGACAATTTGCCCCATGAAGGTTAGAATGTGTTTGTGACTTTAAGCATCACTATCCCACAATACTGTGAAATTTGTGAAATTGTGTATTCACTTAATCACAATAAAGAATTTGCAACAAAAAGAACAAAGAAAGAAAAGTCACACAGCATTATCTGTGCCAGGGCCAGAGCCCTTCTTCCTGCCACCACAGCCCCCAAACACACACTATGGAGCTAGGTGTGGAGACACCACCAGAAGGACAGGGTTTTTCCCCCTAAAGGATTAAAACATTCACTGAGGGCTTGATTTTGAAAACAGCCTGGAAAAGCTGTAGCTTCATCTATGAGGTGACGTCAACTTGATCGCGGCATGGTCTTGGGAACCAACCAGACTGCCCAGGTTCCAGTAGCTGGCTCTGCCCTTCCTAGCTGTGTGACCCCAGACTAGATATGCAGCTTCTCTGTGCCTTCATGTTAGCTATGCTGATGGGAGG